TACGTGTTTGTATCTGTGATCTGATCACTTGCTATAATGAAGATATTGATTTATCGGATCATTCCTTTAAAACAGTCTAGCAACTACCTATCTTCCGTTTACATACAAGGTTTATTTTACTTCATAACGATGATTCAGATTGAGCAGGGATGGACGACGATAGCGATTACGATGTGAGTTACAAAGACACTTCGATTTATATTTTAGTTCGTAAATATTTATTGTTTAGTCTGTTTTCTTAGTTCCCTTTCTCTCTGTCTAATCTTTGAGTGAATGAGTTGTGCGATAACAGGAGACGGCGCATTCTCCTTGCTGGTCAAAATACTTCTAATTCTGAGAGAGTGATGAATTTTTATGAAGCTGCTGAGGTTTTCAACTGCTTTTGGAAGTTCCAGTCATTTGGTCAAAGAAATTGTCAAAGCCGAGTCCACACTCAAGATCTGAATCTTACAACATATTCTGAAGTGAAATCACTGCACATCTCTGTAGCTGATCATACTTCGTCAATCCTTGTAAGAGCCTCAGTTCAGTACAATTTATGTGCTAGATACCGTATTTGCCAATATCCTCAAAATGCTCAAAAAAAAACTAAAAATCTTTGAAACAATTTAATTTCACCTTAATCTTGTCGGTTTGGTCAGCTGAAAGCAGCGTTTGAATCTCATTTTCTGCAGGATGAGCAACTGGAGTCTCCTCATTCATCTCAAGCTGGCAGTATGGTCGGAATGATGGAGAATGGTATGGAAGATCCGAAACGTCACGCTCGCGCTCAGCATAATGCCTTGGAGCGAAGGCGACGAGATAATATCAAGGATATGTATACAAGTCTAAAGGATGTCGTCCCAGATATGCAAAATGAAAGGGTATGTTGCTTTCTGTCATTGAGCATACAGACATTACTATCAGAGTTCATTTCTAGGCTTCTCGTGCAGTGATTCTGCGGCGAGCTATTGAAGTCATTGAGGAAAAGCAACAGCAACGTGCAGATCTGAGAGCAGATTGTGATCGGCTAAGAAATGAGATGGCCGAGTTGGAAAGGGAAGTAAGTGTTGGGACTTTGTGAATTGGTCATTAAGCATTGAAAATTTTATTAGTGCCTACGTTTTCAGGTCGCTAGACTTCGCGAAAATCTCGCCAAGCCAAGCGAATCAAGCCGCAGTAGTATTTCTGGTAATTGTTCACCACAACCTACCTCCTTACAACTTCTACCATCTGTTAAAGTTGAACCAGAGTGTGAGTAGTTACAACAACGACGTAGTTTACGGAGAGTCGGTCAAGTTTTTCTCTGGCCATAGCAGCGTAGATACGTCATCAACTAGATTTTTGAGTCAGATACTTATCACGCAGATCAAATTTATATCTTTTTTTTACACAGAGGAAAATGCAGTTCGCAAATGTCCGCAAGTGCCAAATATCTCATTTCAGTGAGATCAGAGATGTGCGTCAAAGGTGAACCAATGGGCTAGCAGCGTCACCATAATGAGCTAAACACGGACTTTGCTGTACCCGTTGAGTTGTTGTACATTTGATCGAAGTCGTAATGGAAGCTAGGAACATTACTTAGGATCATAAATGTGTACACGTCTGTGCTATGTCAAATTTCTTAGATTACAATTAGAATATGAACGATAAAAATTGGGTTGACTAGCGTGTGCAACGTAATCACATTGGATTCATATACTCTTCTCCCTTCTTATTCTCGAAATAGAAATTGTTTTCTGCTCAGCAGTTTCTCACAGAAATTCGGAATCTTATTCTAAAAGATCTTTCACTCAGAGGTAAGAACGCTATTGCGTTCTAACATCCTCATATAATATGCTTATCATTAGTGCAAAATTTTCCGATGTATGAGTCAGCCTGACGATGCATGTATTAGTATTAGTCGTATTCTATATTGGACATTTGAATAATGTTCTGGCCCATAAATGTGGCTTGCATGTGATCTCTTGGATGACTGTTGAAGTTTATAGGCAAAAATTCTCACAAAATTAGGTGGGGAGGATGACAACATTTGTGCTTGTATGTACAGTGCATAATTTTGAACAACTGCTACATTCCAAGAAATTCGTCACTTTGGAATGGGAAAACCGAACAGTACGAAGTCGTAGTAGTATAGTTCTACAAATAATCGAAGCAGAGTTTTGTTCGATAATAACTCCTGTTCTGCTAGAAGCCTTTGAGCGGTCGATGATGTGGAGTGATGAGATCGGCCCACTGAACTTGAACAAATTATTGAAGGTATTACATGTTTAAAGAATGTTAGCTGAGGATGAACTCTGCGAGAAGCAGCATTGCCTTCACACGACAGCATATGCCGAGAGCCACATCACTAGGCATCGGTGGTTCAGTGGTAGAATGCTCGCCTGCCACGCG